AAAAAGCACACGGATGACTTGGTGATGGGAAACCCGCGGGGACTACAATTGAGATGGAAAAAAAATGTAAAATAAACTGTTATGAAATAAATAAAGAAAAGAACATACATTATGGCACAAACCAGATGTTTGGAAAAGGAGACTGGCTGGCTGAATGGGCGGGTGGGTGGACAGACAGACAGCTGGTTCATTGGGTCTGATTAATGGATGGGCTCAACCTATTGAGCTCATGATCTCTTTCTAGGTTATTGACTTCCTGTCTAGGCTGGATCTATGCCTCAATTTTCCTTCCAGATTCTAAATCACATATACCAGGGTGGAGCCTACATATTAGGACTAGAAACCTATATATGCAATCATTCAAAGTAGAATTAATGAATGAATTAACAAAACAACCAAATGAAACTAAAGTCCCGCTGCTCTTCACAAAATCATGACGCTACATTTCATACTCTGCCCCCAGCCCCGCCACCTTGTCACCCTCAGCACTCCCCACCTCCTCCCACCACCAGGACTCGAGGTTTGTTCCAGGCCGCTCTGCTGTCCGCGAGACTCCAGGGATGAAGCTGTAACCCTAACGGGGAGAGGCCAGCGTCTCGTTGGACAAAGGCTTTGCTGACGGATGGTGGTAAATTCCCTTTTACTCCCCAGGGAAACATAAACAGAACCTGAATCCTGTCTATCTAGGCAGGAAGGAATACTGTGTCTGGCTAAGAGATTAGCTTATCGGGAGAGAAAATCACACAACCTTGGTTTGTCCTGGACCATCTTGTCATGTGTGACCCAGAGGTGGGGAGGGTTTTAGGGGTGAAAGTGCTAGACATGTTCAGTGAACACACTGCACAGGACACTGACCCTGACTCCTTTGAACAAGAAAACGTGCAAGTAAACCAGATGGAGAAGGCCATGAACCCCCCCACCGCCAGGCCAGTGCAGGTGCTGCTGGGTGGGTGCTGGAACCGGACATCTTCCATCTGGATCCAGGACAGCCTCGCTCCGAGCCCTGCACCCCTGCCACTGTCTGCTCACTGGGCCTCCGCCCCTGCACCTGGAAACGGAGCCCCAGACAGGTGCCCGACTCCCGGAGCCCATATAAATTTCCAGGAATGAGAGGGGACATGACGACGTCTCTAGGAAGTGTCACCAGCTCACGGCGCCTAAGGGCCAGCACACTCTCCAAGGCCCTTTTTCAAAATCTGCGTGTCCCAGGGAAGGAGGTGATAGGCTCCACGGATGTGGTCGACAGACACGGCTCTGTCTTCTCCTTTGACGGCACCAGGGACAAGCGGGCCCAGGTCTGCATGTGGGCAGCCTCTGGCCTCCGGTGTGCAAAGAGTTCTCTGGGCCTGGATGGACATTGCAGCTCAAAAAATGTTTAATGCAGGAAGGACAGGTGTTTGCAGGTGGAGGGCAATCTGCTCCCCACAGGAGGGGATGGAGGAAGGCCATGGGAGGGGAGGGGAAGAGGGGAGGGAACGGGGGGAGGGGAAGGGGGAGGGGCTGAGGAGGAAATGAGAGGGGACCCAGGCTGACTGGGACATCTGGCTGTGAACACGGCAAAGCATGGCCTGGCCTCAGTTTCCGCAGTGACCAGCGGCAAGGGGTCCCTGGCGCCGGGAGCTGGCCACTCTCAGCCTTCCCATGGCCCCGCTTCAGCGCTGGTATGAGAGCCCACTGGAGATCACAACGAAGCCCTGAAGGGCAAGGAAAGCCATGAGCCAGGCCGGAGGCCACCCAAGGGCCAGCGGCCCTGAGTTCCCATTCTGCCCCTCAGCTGTGTGTCCTGAGTGCAGCTCTTTGAGTCTCTGAACCCCCATTTCCTGCTGTCGCCCAGAGGTGGTCACAGCATCCCCCTGAAAGGTCGCTGGGCAGCCGGAGCCCTGAGTGTGGGGCCACGCGGGGTGGATCTTCTGCAGGGGGTCACCGCCGTGGCTGTCTTATCGTTGTGGGCTCAGAGGAGTGAACTGTCTTCTCCAGTTCAGGCCACCCCAGCAGAGCCAGGCACCCCTCGTGTCCCTGTGCTCCATGTTCCACTGTTGTCACTGTGTTCCATGTTCCTGGGGGGCTGCTGGTCTTTCATTCATTCACTCAACAAATCTTGACTGAGCTTCTACTACGGGTGATGCCCACTGCTGAAGACCCTGCAGGGAGCGAGCCAGGCCCAGTCCCTGGCCAGGGGTCGCTCACATGCGGCCGCCAGCCTCCTGTGGCTAATTACACCTAAACTAATTAAAATTAAATAAAATTTAAAGCGCAGTTCCTCGATCACACTGGCCCCCTCCAAGGCCCAGTGGCTGACAGATTCATATCCCTGCAGAAAAAACATCAGACCTGCCGTCCAGGGCCCTTGGACTCTGGACTCAGCGGGTGGCATGTGTGGGCCAAGGGGCGTCTGCCATTGGCTGTTGGGGGGTCTTGAGGAAATTCTCAATGGCCCTGGCTCCTCTGTGTAATGACTGTTCCTTCCTATGGGAGAGGAGCCCCAAGTGCCTTGGGGCCTCAGTTCTTAAAACACAAAGCAGCCTCCCGGGAAAGACATCCGCAGGCCGTATTTGAGAGGTGTGTGAGTAACACACACAGATGTTGAGCTTAACGGACCTTGGCTAAGCTTTCTATGGCATGCAGGCCTCGTGGAGTGAGTTCGGAAGAACATTACCTTTTCTATCTCAGGTGGAACAGAAGAAAGTAGTTGAGATTAAATTTCACACTGGGGCCCTCCCTGGTGGTGCAGCGGGTAAGAGCACAGCACTGAGAAGCTAAAGCCACTTCCGCATGAGTTCGATTCCTGCCTGCCCTGGAGGTGACCACATGGCGTGGCAGACCTCTCCTGACCCGCCCGCTGCTCCCCTCAGCAGTGTACTTCGTCGATCTGCCTGTTCTGCTCCCCACTCTGTCCCTGGTGAATCCTCTCATTGCCCCTGCCCCTCTGGCCTGTACCCCAGTTCTGTATGCACAAATAAATACATCTTTACAATAAATAAATAAATAAATTCCACACTGATTCCACAACATTTGATCCAGCAGTTTCGGGGACTGCAGGAAGCCCCCTCTCCCTCCAGCTTGCAGAGTTTTATGCACAATGTTGGAAGAAGCCTCTGTCATCCTCCCCAGAAACCAAAGCGCTGTGCCCACTCCAGGGCACAGAGTCAGAGGACAACTGAAGGCTGCATCCCCCGAGTGTGGCCTGGTGTGACACCTGATGAGGCCTAGGGGTCGGGCAATCCTTCGCACCAATTTTCCAACTAGTTGCAGCTCAGGGTTCATGGCTTGGTCTTGGCAGGAACAGGGGGCTCTCCGGACCTGGCTAACCCTGCGTGCTCTAGCAAGGAGGGAGAGACAGAGGTGACCCCTGCCTCCACAAGCCTAGCATCCCTCCAAGGGTGGGGTGGGCCCCTGTGGTCACCCCCAAAGGCTCTCACCTCATGGACAGAGACCTCAGGGTTGATGTAGAAGAGGTTGACCACTTTGGGAAGGGCAATCCCCATGCCCAGCAGAGCTGCAGGAGGGAAAGGGGAGACCAAGCTCAGATAGGAGGTGGTCACAGAGCACCCCTAGAGCCAGCCCTTGTGCATCCCCAGACAGCTGGGAGGTGGGAACCATCATTAGTACACCCATTTCACAGAAAGGAAAACTGAGGCTGAAGGAGAAACAGGAACTAAGAAGTGAGGGTCTCCTAACAGCTGAGTCAAGATGCATGTCACAGAGAGGGGCTCCAGAAGCCTTCCTATCCTCTGGGCCTGGGAGGCAGGAAGGGGCCAAGCCATGTGGGGCAGGAGGGGCCAGGTGGCACCTGGGGTAGGGGGCTCACCGTTGAGGTGGTCCAGCAGGGGCTTCTCAAACACGGCACCCATGAGCGTGTGCACTTGGTCCATCTGCAGCCACGGAGTCGGGGAATGGGGGCGCCGCAGGGAGCGATGGGCAGCCGGACACACACATGAGCACACACACAGACACACGGATGGCAGAGGCATGGGGGAGCGAGTGGGAGCCCATCCCCCGCCTGGCTTTGTGCAGAACCCAGCTCTGCCCCCTCCTTGGGACCAGGCCAGTCTCTGAGCATCAGGCTGGGCCCAGCGCCTGACCCACTGACACTCACTCACTACCCAGGGGCATGACTGCCCTGTGGGCATGGGCAGACAGACTGGCTGTGGATAGGCTGATGGGGCGTGTTGGCAGACAGGCCAGACAGCAAAGGGGTGCGTGGAGGCTGTGGCCGACACTCATCACACAAAGGAGCAGCTGGCCGGGATGCTGGCTGGTCCCCCAGTGGGACCCGGTGACTCAGGCTGAGCTGAAGGCCGGGCTAGCACGGCTTTGGCTACCAGCCAGAATGGCAGGCAGACAACTGGCCCACCAAAGAATGAGGCTAAGTGACCAGCTGCATGGCCAAAAGACAGCTGGGAAGGACAGACAGCTTGGGGGGGGGGGCGGCCGCTCACCCAAAGCACACCTGCACGTGTACCACCCCCCAGCTCAGAGCCCACCCACCCTGCAAGGGGGTCTCTGGAGCCCCAGTCCACACTCACGTCAATAAAGCCCACATTGGAAGAGGCCACCGTGAGCTGGACATCCCTGAAAGGAACGAGGAGGGTGAGGGCCGGGCCTGCTGCCTCGCACTGCCTCCGGCTGGCCCTGACGGGCAGGGCCCTTGCACCAGGAACCCACCGAGCCTGCTGGGTGCAGGAGGCCTTGCTCACCCCAGCACATTCGTGGTGCCCTGAAGCTTCACCTTGGACACAGAGAACTGAAGGTTCAAGTTCACTACCTGGGGGTGTGGGGAGAACAAGGTCAAAGGACACAGAGCTACAGAGGAGAGCTCGGCTCCACATTCCCCCACCCCCAGGCCCCAAGCGTCTGAGGAACGCAGGCCAGTGAGGGTGCTCAACAGTAACCAAAGTAACTAGGTAGGATCCTTGAGCGTGGTGGGCGCCGCAAAAGCAGCGTGGCAGCGTGGAGGGGTGTCCACTCGGCCCACACTGCGGCGGTCTGCCACACTGAAACTGCAAGGTGAAGAGGCGCCAGCCATGCCAAGAGCTAGGGGGGTTATGTCCTAGGCATGGAGGATGGCAGGTGCAAAGGGCCTGGAGTGTCCCTGCATAGCGAAGCTGACAGCAAGGAGACCGGTGTGGATGAGCAGAGCAGTGAGAAGGGAGAGGCCGGAAGTGAGGTCTCTTGGAGCGTCCCCCACCTTCCCTCCCACTGGCCCCACCCAGTCCACCTCACCACATCCAGGGAAAAGAGGGACTGGAAGGCTGAGTTGGAGGTCACCACCAGGACTTCCACAAGGGGCTGCAGCCGCAGGGTGGTGTTGTTGGTGTGGAGCGTGGCCACCGGCGTGGCACCCAGCCGGACCTTGAGCACCACGGGCATGGGGTCCGGGAACTGGCGGGCCACCTGGGGAGACAGAGATGGACAGGGCAGAGGCAGGACGGGCTCTCCACGCACCATTCCTGAGACACGGATCCAGCCCCCATGTGTGCGCATCTGGGCCACAGAGACAGGTCCGCTCAGGGACCCCTACTCAGGGATGCCCGGAGGTCACCCTGCAGGGGCAGCAGCCATGAAGATAGGCACAGCGTGGCCTGTGCTCAAGGAGGTTCCCCGGCCCAGGCTCGGGCTGGTTCTCTCGCTGGGGAGATAAGCCCAAGTTTGGTCTTGAACATGGACACAGGAAAGGAAGTGGAAAGACAAGCCAGGCGGAGGCCGTGTCTTGGGCAAACGCATTGAGGAGGAAAATAATCTGGGCAGAAGAGGCCACCCTGAGAAGGAGGAGGTTCAGAAAGGTAGATGCTGGGCCCCACCTGGGACAGATATGAGCCAGCAGAGACCCCACAGCCCGGAGAGCGTCCCACCCCAACCTCAACCCCCCCAGGACGGTCACCGGCACCAACCTCCGGGATGAGCTGGCCCAGCGAGGAGGTGTTCAGCGGGTTGTCCTCCGACTTCTGAAATATGGCCCCCGGCATGGCAGGTTTTAGGACAGCCATTTCCCAGCAAGACCACACTTTCCTGGATAGGAAATCCTCCCACAGCCCCATTCAACCCAGCAGTCACCCCTGGTCCCAAAACTCCCTTTGCCCCACCCACCCAAGAGGCCCTCGGGGGCCTCCCCAGGCTGTCACTGGACACGCCTGTCCCACGTGCCTGGACACCAGGTCTAAACCTCACCAGCTCCCCTGTGATGTCCAGGTTGAGGGCACCAGCCTTCTACAGCAGCAGGAGGGCTGACTCAAAGAGGTGCTGGGAGAGGCCCACGGTTGCCATGGCATCCTTGGTGCCCACGTGCTCCGGCAGCGTGAAGGGGGCAGCGCTCACAGGCAGCACGATGGGCCTGCCCAGCAGCAAGAGAACCATCTGTGGGGTGAGAGCGAGGAAACAGTGGAGCCCCAAGAAGTTGCCTCCACGAGGAGCCCCTGCTCATGACGCCCCTGTTGTCCAGCCTCACCCCTCAGCCTGCATGCCCTGCTCCTGCTGGAAAGCCATTCCAGCTGCTCTCCCCTCGGCTCCCCTATACTGTCAAGAATCTCCCAGCACCCCAAGGACTCCAGAGGCAACCAGCCTCCAGCTGTGGGCCAGCGAGGAGGCACCCACCTTGACCTCCAAGGAGATGCAGTCCTCAGTGACCGTGGGCGCACGGGCCAGGGAGTAGCGGATCTGGGACTCGGGGCCCACAGGGTTGAGGCCTAAGCGAAACCGGGGTGAGGGGCAGATGGCACCTGCAGCAGCGCCTCACTGTCGGGACGCCCAGTTATCTGAGCAGGTTTGGGTTTCCTCTTGCCCAGTGGTGGCAGACTAGAGACCCCACATGCTCACTTCAGGATGAAAGCAAGGAGGCGCTGGAGAGGAGGGGAGCCGTGTTTGTCAAGGCCCCACGCTGACTTCAGTCCTCACCACAGTCCTGTGAGGCAGCCGCCACTTTGGATGCAAGCCCACTCTCACACTCACACGTGCACGCACACATGCACGCACGTGCACGCAAACCCACGCACGTGCACACACTTGCACACACATGCATGAATGCATATGTACACGTGTGTGCATGTGTGTGTATATGCACGAGTGCACATATGCACTGTGTGCACATGTGTAGCACATATGCACGTGTGTGCACCTTGTGTGCATGCATGCACACATATGTGAGTGACCATGTGTGTGCTCGTACATACATGTACATTGTGAAAGTGTGCAGTGTGTGCAGCACACGCACACATACACACACCTAAACATGCACATGCATGGATGTACATGTGCTCGTATATGCACATGTGTGGTACGTGTGTGTATATACATGCATGTGTGATGCACATACATGTGTTTGCAGTTGTGCATGTGTGCGTGTGTGCACGCTCACATGTGCGTGAATGCACACTCGCGTGTGTGCACACGCACGTGGGTGCATATATATGTGCCTGTGTGCATGTGCACACAAACAGGCACAGCTCGCACCGACATGAACGTGCACATGGATGCATGAACACGTGCACACACACGTGTGCCCATGCACGCAGCCTGCTGACTCAGCCATGCCCGGGACTACAGCCTGCTCAGTCTCACTCACTGGCCCCCAGTCACACGCCTCCCCCAGTGCCTTGAGCATGGCTCCCCCAGGCGCCATTAGCACCAGGTACAGCAGTGCCTGCTCCCACCACTGACCTCCCAGAGTCAACCCTGGTGCAGAGAGGGATGCTCTGAACCTTCCTGGGGGCACCGGAGGGCTCCTGCTTCCCGAGTCTTACCAATGAAAGTGCCCAAGTGCAAGTTGAGGGTCTGCACCAGGTTGGAGACACACAGGCACATCTGCAGGGAGACAGAGGTGGTGGTCAGGGGCGCTCGGCGCCAGACAGGGCAGGGCTGGCCTAAAGTTCTGGTCTGGAATCTCCCCTTCATCTGCACACTGAAGCCTGGAATATTTCCCTTCCTCCACTGCCCAGTGGCATCTTCTGGCACCTCCCCTGGGTACCAAGGAGTCAGAGGGGAAGATGGGGCATTGAGAAAAGAATGGGGACTGTGGGCACAGCAGAAGTGGATGCAACTGAGGCAGGAGCCGGCTGCATCAGGGTCCAGAGGGCCAGCGGGGCGGGGGTGCCACCTCTGGAGGGGGCCAGCTGTGGGCCACAAGCCTGGCCAGGGAGACGAGTCACCTGGGCACAGTCGCCAGAGAAGCATATTCAGCTGGGGTCAGCGTGACAGAAAGTGGGCAGAGGAGAGCCCACAGGCCGGGATGTCACAGCCTGTCTGGGCAAGAGCTGGTGAGGCGGGACCAGGCAAGGCCAGGTGGTGACCGGGCAAGGCCAGGGTGGGAATGCTGAGGTGGCCTGGGGCAGGGGTGGGGGGCACGCAAATAGATTTGGTCTCACTGCTTCACCTAAAGGGAGTGGCATGGGATGGGGAAGGCAGAGAGAACCAGCCTCCCCTGGGCGGTGGGTCCCTGACCCCCCGGCACCACCTCTCACAAGCCAGCGGCAGGCAGCCAGTGACCAGAAGCAAGAGCCACACAGAGCAGCAGGCGTTCTGCCAAACACTGTGCTAAGCTCTCAGCGATGTCAACTCCAGCCCTCACGGCTGCCCGACAGCACCGGGGCTCCCCACTGCGGGAGTGGGCCAGGAGCAGAGGGGTCCGGAGACTCGTCCACCGAGCTCGCCCCTCCTTCAGTCTCCTTCTCATAAGCCACGCGGCCCCTGAAAGCACTGCCCCCCACCACCCTCTAGCACGGAGCTGGGCTAGCCCAACAACGGGGACCTCCCCCAAGCCCACCCTTGTTCCGGCCGCCCCACCACCGTCCTCAACCCCCACCAGCCTTACCCCTCCTTCACAGGGGACTGGAGGAGCCTCGGAAGAGCCTCATACTGAAAGGAGGAAACAGCCCAGCCCTGCCCACCCGCTCACTCAGCCTTCTGAGTGGAGCCTGGCCCTCCTTCCTGAGACGCAGAGGTCCTTTACTTTGTTCCGGAGGACAGCTTGCATGTACGTCTGCACCGGGGCCAGCAGCGAGGGCGGGGTGCTGGGGGAGAGACACGGAGGGCTCCTGAGCACCTGTTGCAAACACCCAGCCGCGTGCCAGCAGGCCCGACAGTCCCCTCAGAAGAGGAAGCTGAGATTCAAGGAGGGGCTGCTTGCAAGGTTTGGCACTGCGGCCCGTGAAGGCCCGAGTGGCGACGGGACTCTGGTCACTACGAGGCAGGAGAGCTGGGGCTCAGGACTGCTTCCTGCCTGGGCCGCCCTTCTCTGAGGGCCAGTCCCTGCCTGGCTCCTCTGGGCCTCAGTTTCCCCTCGGAACAAAGAGACGTGAGTCTAAGATGCTGTCTCTCAACAGGCGTGCAGGGAAACCACAGTCCCTTGATTTGCTGAAATGTTGATCCAAGTTACAGCCAAGTCCCCGAATCCGAATCGCCTCGGGGTGGGGGGGTGCGTGGGACTGTCCCTGTTTGTTATGCCAGCAAACTCTGGGCTTCCATTTTGGTCAGTAAACTGAGCAGGTCCTGCCCAGGAAGACTGTGAGGGACCGTGAGCAACCCACGATGCCCAAGGGCCACAGTGTGGGCAGCCCTACCCAGCCTGTGCAAAGCGCACATTCTTTCAAGCCTCCGGAATGGACAGCGGCCTCCCAGCGAGCCCTTGACAAGCGCAGGAGGAGTAGACACAGTGCAGGGCCTCACGGCAGTGAGGTCAATTAGGCTGCCCCGCTTGAGCCCAGCTCCACTATTCGCCAGCTGCATGACCTCAGGCAAGTCGCTTAACTGCCCCGGGCCTCCATTTTTCTCCAGTAAAATGCGGGAACACTTAAACCTACCTGGTGAGGTGAGCTCACTCGTAGAGGGCCTAGGGTCAGCCGGCCCCTGGCAGGTGCTGAGGTGGAGTACCCATGTGAACAGTCTGACTCACAGTCCCTCCCTGGGCCTCTGACTACCATTCTCTGCAGGGAGGGTCAGCTTCTGAGGCCCCTAACAGGGGTCACTTCAGATCCCCTCCCAGAATGGCAAGTTAATGGCCAGCGTTCGTTGTCACGTGATGTGGGGTGGTGGCGGGGATGAGCCCCAGGCCACACGCTCACTGTGTGGCCTCAGGCAAGTCCCCCCTCACAAAGCTCCATTCCTCAGTCTTAAGATGGTGTGATGCTGGGGTCTCCGAGGCCTGCGGCGGCATTAGATGAAATCTTGAGAAGGAAGCTCAAGAAGGGCATCTTGGCCTTGCCAGCTGGGATCCTGCAGCCCAGTTCTTGCCAGGCACCCACCTGTTACGGCCACGAAGCAGGGTGGCATTGTCAAAGAATGAGAAGCAGGTGGAGATGCTGACCACGGGGGTCCCGATGGGGCTCTGGGCCACTTGGGCATCAGCCTTCAGTACCACAGGCATCTTCAGCTCCAGGGTCTCTGGGGTGCTGCAGAGAGGCCAGTCCTGAGTCCCAGGGGCACCACTCCAGAAAGCCCCCCCCAGCACGGCAGCCCACAGAGCCCCCAGCCTGAGCATAACCTCTACGGACACAGGTGGGCATCAGGTGGCCCACACCAGGCAAGCCAGAACCCCTCCCAAACGCCATTGCGGTGGGTGGGTGTGAGCGCTGGGCCGGATGCCTCTCCCTGTGGGCACCCGCGGCCTTTCCCCATGCCCAGCCTCAGTTTCCTCTTCTTTCAAATGGACACAAGACTGGCCACACCCACTTCACAGGCTGTGCCACATTTTCTGGCCCACGGCAAGCAGGTGTGAAGTGGCAGCATCAGGAAGAGGAGTTAAAATAAAACATCCCAGGCCCTCCCTGGTGGTGCAGCGGGTTAGAGCACAGCACTGAGGAGCTAAAGCCACTTCCGCATGAGTTCAATCCCGGCCTGCCCCGGAGGTGACCACATGGCGAGGCAGACCTCTCCTGGCCCACCCGCTGCTCCCCTCAGCAGTGTACTTTGACCATCTGCTCCCCACTCTGTCTCTGGGAAGCTTCTCACTGCCCCTTCACTTCTGGCCTGTACCCCAGCTCTGTATGCATAAATAAATAAATCTTTAAAAAAATAAATGAGACATCCCTCTAAACGTCCAGCTCACAGTTTGAAAATTAAACCCCTTACAATGACTGCTGCACAGAAATCACTCTGAAAGCTACATTTATTGAGCACCTACCATGTTCCTTGAAGAGACATTTCAATTACAGCAACAGATCCATTCACCCCAACCCTCATAGCCATGCAGCAAAGCTTCACCCCATTTTACAGAGGAGGAAACAGAGGCTGGAGGAGTAAAGTGTCTAATCGCACAGCTATTGAGCGGGACCCAGGTTCTCAGAAGTTCCCTCACAGTCTCACTCCCCACTTGGAAGGTGGGAGAGGGGGTGCTGGACACGAAAGGAGTTGTTGAAACCCCTCCTTCTTCCTCTGCTCAGAGGGCCCTTTGAAAACCCCCTGCCCCCACAATAAGGAGGTTCACTCACCAAAAGACCTTGAAAGTAAAATTGGCTACTGCCAACAAGTGTACCCCAAAATTGGCAATGAATTTCAGGCGGAGGTGGGGCACATGGACATTCAGAATCTGGATCCTGCAGGGATAGGGTGACACGGTTAAACCATGGACCAAATCTGGGGGCGGGTGTTCCCACTGTGATGACAGCCTGGTGAAGGACGGTCTGAGCAACGCAAAACTTACCCTTCAAGGCGCCTGTTAAGCGCACTCTAGCTAACCTATGGCCTTTTTTCCTAAATGAAAGCCACTGCTTTCCCCTTGCACACTGTGGAGTCGGGGTGGGGGTGAGGCTTTCACAGTCGCTGGTGGCAGGAGTCTGCTAACAGAGGTGCCCGCCTCACACCTGGTGTCTGCAGTTAGGGTGCATCTCCTCAATGCTCCTCTGACCACTCACCTGGTTGGGGGGGGCCGAACCTGATGGGGAGCCTCGTTCTGCTGGCAGGAGAGGACTCACCATGGACGAGGACACTCTTCTCACTGCCTGAAACATTTCTCCCAGTGGTGGGCACACTCACCTGGCAGGTGGCAGCACCGCCTGGGCTGTGCCTGGACACAGTGGCACCCTCTCTGAGGGTGGTAGCACTCACCTGGGGAGCTGAAGCTCCTCTCCACTCTGGTCCACAAAGTCCGGGACATTGACATGCAGAGCCCGCTGCAGAGGGCCTTTGCCGATGTCAGACACTGGGGGATTAGAGAGTGCAAGTCAGGCTGCCCTCGGGAGCCGCCAGGCAAGCCCACACCGCCTGCCAGCTGCTCCATGCTTGGCAGAGAGGACTCAGACAGAAAGGGGCAGGCTTGCCCACAGGCACACTGGGGACCTGTTGACCCCACAAGCCCATCGTGGGTACATGACTCACATCAAGTCCCTGCTGGACAGGCCGTGTCCCTCCTCTTTCTCATCTGCCTCTCCAAGTCCTACCTAACCCCACTCCTCAAAAACAGTAGTGTCCTGTTGCTTTATTTACAATAGGAAAGACATGGAATCAACCCAAGTGCCTAAAAGTAGATGACTGGATTAAAATAATGTGGCACATATACACAATGGAATATTACTCAGCAATCAAAAAGATAAACTCGTGCCTTTTGCAGCAACATGGATGGAGCTAGAAGAGATCATGCTGAGTGAAATAAGCCAGAAAGAAAAGAAAAATACCAGATGATTTTACTCATAGCAGGAGCATAAAGACCAGGGAGAGAAGTAATAATAATGAACAGAGACATTTTACGGGAGTGGAGTGGGGAACGGGATCAAAAGTGGGGAAGGGGTAGTGCACAGGACTATGGTGATGGCACACCGGTGGGCTGGTGATGGGAGGCCCACGGGGATTACAGCTGAGATGGGAAAAAACACAAAATGATGCCAAAATAAACTATAATAATAATAATAAATACACAGTCATATCCTTTGCCCCCTTGCAAGGCTTTGGTCAGATCCCACCTCTTCCAGAACCTTCTCCAAACCCCCAAGCAGAAGAGCGACTCCCAAGGGTGCCTGGTTAACTGTAGAGGTGCCCACTTTGGGGATGATGGTGGACGGTTCAGCCTCACCTGGAGGCCGAAGACTGGAGACTCAAGAGTCTGGGTGAGTCCAGTAGCTCTGCTACTCACTCTGTATAGCTGCTCTGTGCCTCAGTTTCCCCACGCAGTTCTTGTAAAGACTCAGCGCACAACGTCAGCTCTTACTCTTGCTATTTATTGTTTAAATAATAGTGGCTCTCACTTCTCTAGAGCGCCTGATGGAGGCAAGGACTCCTTGGCAAGAGGGAGCCTGATCTGGGCCGCAGCACCTCACTCCTGGTGCTGCCGGGTAGCAAAGGTACTCATGAAACAGTCAGCTGTGAGAGGAATCAAAACGAGAGGCTGTGGCGCTGGAGGGCAGCTTCCGCTGAAGAGTCACCGGCCCCAACTCCGCTCAGACTAACCGTGAGACTGGGGAGGTCCTGCGCCTCTCAGGCCTCAGTTTCCCGCAGATTGGGAGCATGAGGCCTGTGGTCTCTATGCCCCCTCTGGCCTGCCCATCTGGTATGGAGCCGGGACCCCTGCCCAGGCGTCTGGACTCTGCCTCTATTCCCCACACACTCGCAGGCTGCAGCCCTGAAGCTCACAGGGGGGGTGGGAGGAGCAGTGAGAGCCACCGGGGCGGCCTGGGAGAGGTGTGCTCCTGCCGGAGCAAGGCTTTCTAGGACAGAGGCGGTTTGCACAGGGCAGGCAGAGAGTGGGACGGTGGCGGGGCAGCCAGCGGAAGGCCCAGGCCTCGCGTCGGCCACACGCAGCCATGCGTGACCCACCAAGCAGTCATGCTCCAGCACGCATCACTGACCCCTTTCAACGCCTGCACGTCTGCCCGGATGCAAGGTCCTGGAAGGCCAGACGTGCCCGCGAGGCCTGCCGCTTCCCCGAGCTAGTGCCTCACAGCTTCCTGGCCCAGGCCACCGAAAGGCCCTCCACCAACTGACCCGAGTCCCTCCATGTGACCACACGGGCCTTGAGGAAAATGACTTCTGAGTTCCCGTCCCTGATCCAGCTTGGTAGAACCCCAGTAACCTCCCCAGGGAGACTTGGGGGGTCAGTTTTCATCCCTCCTTGGACCTGTTTTCCCTGGCATTGCTGATGCCCACAGTAGGGGAGGGGCAACATGAGGAAGCGGGAGCAGAGCCCAGAGGCCCCAAGAGGGGTCCAGAGAAGGGCTGGTTCTTCTCCCTGGAAGCCTAACAGGTCTGAGCTCCAGGAGATGCCCCCGGACCATGCTGGACATGCCTCTCCCCAGCACACATGTGCACGCAGACCCCCGCCCACTCCACGTGGTTGTGAGCGCCCATGTGGGCAGCCACGCCTGGGTACACAGCCCAGGCACACACCGCGGGCACGCGCACACCCCGGGCCGGCCTCCTGCCCCGCGGGTACGCCAGCTCAGGGTGAGGCACGCTCACAGACAGGGCGCACGCACAAAGCAGCCGTTGGCCGGTCTCTTACCGTGGCTCAGCATGGCGTTGTTGAGTCTGACCACGGTGCTCGGCATGGAAGTGCCAGCCACGGGCGGCAGCAGCACCAAGAGCAGCGCCAGCCCACGTGCCTGAGCCACGGTGGCCTGGCTGTTACCCCCCAAAATCTGTGGGCTGGGGTGGGGATAGACATCAGAAAGATTGTCCAGGGTACCCCGCCCGGTCCCCCTACCCCAGCCCTGCCCCAGCTCCCCACATCCCTGCTGGAGAAGAATCGCCTTCCCCTGCCTGCTTCATCGGGACGCATGAGGGAATCTGGTGTGGAAATGCTCCCGAAGGCCCAGAGGAGATACGGCCCAGCTTACGGCTACATGGCAACTCTGGGAGCAGGGCCCATGCGAGCCCAGAAAAGCCTGAGAAAGCTCCCCCACGGAGCCACTAAGAGCAACTGCCTGCCCCAAGGAGAGATCCCAGGCCCAGAGCTGTGTCTCCTCTAGATGCCTGAACCGAACCAGCCCAGGGAGGGCTAGAGGGCTCCTGCCCGCATCTTAAGCCAGGTGAGCGTGTCCTGAAAGTCGGCCTCTCACATGACCCCAACCCCACCAGCTTGGTCCAACTGCGGGACCCATCCGAGTTCCACTTGGGGGGCCAGAGTCAGGCGGATATTGCTCACGTGGGCTAACCAAGGCTCGGGGGGCAGTACCGGCCCAGAGTCCCTCAGCTTGACCAAGGACAGAGGCGGCTGGAGGGGCACCCCACTGAACAGGTGAGTGGTAGCAGCTGTCCCCGGAAGGAGCGCCAGCCCCAGGCCTCCTACCTCAGGCAGTCTCTAGATGAGATGGACTCTTGCTCCCAGCCGAGTCCTCCACTACCCCAGGCAGGCGTGGAAGCTGCTTTAAGAGCTTCCCCAGCGCCACGAGTCCCCGGGAAGGGGCCTGGAGCAGGGCCAGGTTGGCTTGTGGTTGCCAGTGTTTTCCCTGCAAACATGGCCTTTGTCAAGACGTCTCATCCCACATGTGCTGTGGGGCTGCCACGTAGCCAGGTCCGCTGCCAGCCGCAGAGAGACCCTGGGATTGGGCAGCTTTGAGGCCTCAGGCCAGGAGGGCTTTCGAAGGAAGCCCAGAAGGAAGGGAGCCCCAAAGCCAGGGCGGTGCCTGCGATTCCTTCTCAGGTTGGGGCCTCCAAGCTTTCCCAGAAACATGACCTTCTAGGAGGGACAGGGCATTGCCTGAGCCCCAGTTCCAGGCACGACACCCCTGCTCCTGTTGCCCTAATCCACGAAGCAACAGATGAGAGGGTAGGATGACCTGGTCCCCACTGCTTAACACCCCACTTCCTATCCAAACCTGCATCCTACCCACAATGGAATCCCATCTTCTTTCCGCATTACCAACCCCAGGCTCCACCTTGGCTACCTGGCGCCCGAGGAACTCTGTGTGCCTTGGATGGAGTGTGCATATATGTGTGTAAGAGTCATAGGTGTGGGGGGGGCATGTGTACGCAATCACATATGCACTTGTGCATTCAGTCATGATTACTGGCGTCAGAGGAAAGTGTGCGCCTGTGTGTGCACATGATATGAGTTGTTAGATTCGTAATTTAAGGTGTTACATCCCTGTTTATGAGAACCTACAGGGTGCAGATGTGGGGGGTGTGGACATTGTATATGTGGGCCTGATAGACTAATGCTCGTGTGTGTGTCTGTGTGTGTGTGTGCCGGACTGTTTCCTCACATGGAAGGAGGTGTATGTTTGTGTGTGCAGAAGCCATATCTGTTCCTCTGAATGGCTCCCCTTGAGTATAACAACAAGGGTCTTTGGGCTCTTCCCCCACTCCAGAGTCCTCCATGGCTCTCACTAACTCTACACCAATCCAAACACAGGACCAGAGCTCAACTCCCCCCTGTACTGGGTCCCTGCTAGTTCCCCCCGAGCTCGCAGAGACAGGCACCCCTGCACCATCCCTGGAGGCCTGAGCTCCCAGTCACTACTCACCTCCCTAATCTCCAGGCAAACAGGGGCAAGAAGAGCCAGCTGCAGTCTCCCCTGGCCTCCCTTTGCCCACCAATGCATGAGACCATTCCTCCCGGCCCTCACCAAAGCCAAGGCAAACAAACCCAGCAGATAGGGGCGCAAATATTGACCAAAGCCACTCTCGGTGTTTGCTCTCGGTGTGAACACTTCCTCTTCCTCAACACTTTCAGCACAGGGGCCACTGGGCAGCAGCCAGGAAACGCAGAAGAGGGAGATTCTCACCAGCCCCCACCCTGTGCGTAGCGGGTTGGTCCATTCACTGGGCACCTGCCCGTGCGAGGCGCCCCGCCAGCCACTCGCCCTGTATCCCAAGAGATGGAGTTGGCTCTGTTCACCCCCATATCCAGTGTCTGGAACGTGCCTGGTGCTTACTAAACATTTGTTGAACAAACACATGATGAATGAATGTGCAATTTAAACACCTTGTAGCAGTTACGATAACAGCATTTCAGGGTTTCCTTATCACTGCTTAGTTTGAGGGGTACTAAGGTGTTACATCCCTGTTCATGAGGACCTATAGGAATGCAGATGGGGGGAGCGTGGACATTGTGTATGTGGGCTTGATAGGCTGATCGTGTGTGTGTGTGTGTGTGTGTGTGTGTGTGTGTGCCGGAACTGTTTCCTCACATGGAAGGAAGGGCATGTTTGTGTATCCAACTATATAATAGTTTGGACTAATTTACTATTCCGAAAGTAATAGCTTCCTATCTTGCTAAAACAAATCACCATAACGTATAGTATAAATACAGTCATATCAACGAATAAATATTAAATGCAACTTTAAAATCACTTAATATAATTTTTAAAACAAATTTGCTATCATATGATACCAGAGCTCAGAAGTCCAAAATGGGTCTCCCTTGGCTCTAAAATCAAGGTATTGGCAAGATTTGGTTCCTATCTGGAGGCCCTAGAAGATCCATTTCTTTTCTTTCAGCAGTTCCTTGAATATGTCTTCCTTCCTTGGTTCATGTTCCCTTCCTCTGTACTCAAAGCCAGGTATCTGGGGAGAGAGCCCCTCACACGGCCCTCTCCCTTTCCTGCCTTCCTCTTCCATTTATAAGGCCCTTATTATTTGAGGCCCACTTGGGTAACCTTGCTCCCATCTCAAGGTCAATTGATTAGCAAACTTAATCCTATTTGCAAGTTTAATTCATCGTTGTTTGACATCTACAGTCACCTGTTCAGGTATACTGGGCTCTTTTGGGCAACTGCCACTAGAAGGCAAAAGCTTCATGCCCAGAGAAGCTTCCCACAGGGTGGGCTGATAGAAAAAACTTAACTGAGCATGTCTACGCTTCATGCTTTTCTTTTTCCCCAGTAAAGAGTAGGACTTCATTAAACCACACACTTACATTATTTGCACATGATGTGCAAAGTGTCTAGTGTGAGAAGTTCAATACCATAAAATGCAGTCACGCAAAACCTGTGAAGAAAGATTAGGGGAAGGAGGCTCTGGAAGCCAGAAATCGCACAGCCTGGATATTGGCGCCTCGGGGAGGACACCGGCCCAGCCCCTGAGCCTCTGGACTGGCCCTTCCCGTCCTGAGGCCTCAATCTTCCCATCTTAAAAAGCAGAAATTTGGGCCCTCCCTGGTGGCGCAGCGGGTTAAAGCACTGCACTGAGAATCTAAAGCCGCTTCTGCATGAGTTCGATTCCCGCCTGCCCCGGAGGTGACCACATGGCGTGGCAGACCTCTCCTGACCGGCCCGCTGCTACCCTCAGCAGTGTACTTCATTGATCTGCCTGTTCTGCTCCCCACTCTGTCTCTGGTGAAGCCTCTCGCCGCCCCTGAGCCTCTGGCCTGTACCCCAGTTCTGTATGCACAAATAAATAAATCTTTAAAAAAAAAAAAAAAAAGCAGAAATTTGGCCAGAATGAATTCCTCAGAGGGGAGGCACCGGGGTCGCACTCGAGGCGCACAGGCCTCCGTGCACACACCTGCTCTGTGACGTCACAGTGCCTGCTGCTCCCCTTGACCCGGGTAGATTCCACACAGCATCTTCCAGGAAACGCCAGGAGGCAGTGGTAGCAGGTGCAGCTACTTCCTCCTCGCTCTCCCAGAGAGCCCCGCAACCATTGACCCGTCCTAGAGAAGAAAACCAATGCCACGGACCGCGAGGAACCCCGTGGACCCGTGTGACCCACCCGTAGAGGTGCCACCCAGGGATGCCAGGACCAGGAGGTGAGGACAGCAGCCCCCCTCCACCCAGCCCCTGACAGCTGACAAAAAGCTGCCCCTGTCATTCCCAGAGGCGAGTAGGCAGCGTTTCCAAAGGCTCTGTGCAGGTGCAGCCACTGAGGCCTCCCGGCCAGGAAGCGGGGCACAGTTACCCTGTGAGCCCTCATTCATGGGCCCCTGGGGTGTATATCCCAAAAGTGCATACAGAACAAAACAGCCCCATTTGGTGAGGGGAGAAATTATTAAAACTTCACATAGATATAAGCAGAGTGTGGGTCTGCTAATCCTAAGCAGCCGGCTCGGCCACCACTTCTGTTACCTGCGGGTCGGCGTTCCCAGGCAAGGTCAGGACTGCCTGGTCAGTCAGTTATAGTAGGAGCCCAACCCTGCAAGGTGCCTTTCAAATCAACAAGAGCAGAAAGCTGCATCACCCTGGGAAGGTCATACGTGCATCGTGAGGTATGACCAGGAGCGCCCGGGGGCTGCTGACTGATGTGTAACCAGCACCCTAGAGCTGGTCAGTGGATCGCCTGTTGGTCAGTTTGAAACCAGGGCTGCGGATCGGGATCGAGGGCTGGATTTCAATCACAATCTCTCTAGCCATGAGAGAAGCTCCCCCCCCCCTGTCCCAGCCACCACACCCCCACTTCCCCTCCCACCCCATCCCTGACAGACCCTCACAGCAGGAGACCAGGAGCACAACAGGCTTCAGTTGCTTAAGGTGGTCCGAAGTCTCTGTGATAGAAGCACAAGAGAACACAGCAGACTTCTGCCAGCAAGGGGAAGAATTGGGGTTCGGGTTGGGGGGTGGGGGGCGACCACCTGTGACTGCAGCGGCGGGCCCAGTCCTTCCCTCAAAAGAGAACTGGGTTTGGGATCCGCCAGACCCAAGTCTGTCCCCGACTCCATGCTGGGTCTTGGGCAATCTTCTCTGCGCCTCAGCATCTCAGTCTCGGGCACAGGGACACCCCGTCCCTTGTAAAGTGTGACTGTGATTCTTGTCATCCCAGGAACAACCAACGAAACCGGAGCAACTCCAGGCCAACAGAGGACACCTCAGCCAGCACTGGTGAAGAGGGGGGCGGAGAGCAGCCCTGGGGTGTCTGGGCAGCGAGGGACGGGCATTCGGAGATGCCAAATGGGCGACCCAGGGTCACCCAGCTAGGGGCAGGGCACGGGGAGCCAGGGACGCGCACCCCAAGTGTCAGGTGTTCCCCACTATCCGCAGTGCCATGTCCCAGAGATCGGGGGTAACATGCATCCCCACGCTCTCTACAGGTGATGTCTTCCCGCTGCCCATCCGCTTCAGTGCCCCAGTCCCAGGCCTGGCTCAGGTCATGCTGGGGTGCCTGTGTACGTATATGCTGGAAAGCTACCTTGGTTGTCGACGTGGGCCTGGGGAGAGGGCCCAGCCTCAGGTGGGGAGATTAAACCTGTAGTGGGTAGCAGGGTGAGAGGCTGAGCTCTGGGGGTCCCCTATGCTGCCACTACACAGCCAGGCCACTGAGCCAGGTAACAGTTTCATGCAACCCGCCCTCATTGGGACATAGCTCTAGTCACACCTACGATGAGGCCATCCACGCCCCTCTCCGCTGACCACACACTCAGTCATTTACCAACCATCTGCTGGTGTGTGTCTCGTCATTACACGCTCTCTGCCAGTTCATTCACGCATGCACTGGGTCGCTCATCAGTGCCCATACCTTTAACCCCTGCCATTCAAACCATCCAGTCAAGCACAGTCTGATCCACTCGCCCATCCTATCACCCCCGCCTTCGGGTCCTACTCATCCACCCCAAGCTCCTACTCCCATGTCGCCATGTCGCTCCACACAGTCCACTCTGACCTTGGGAAGCTCCCAAGCTTGGGAACGAGCAATGGACCGTGCCAGGATTCTCTCGCTCCTGAGTCACTGTTAAGTCTCTCTGACAGGTCGGGTGCAAGCACTGCTTGCCTGCTCACTAATAAGCAGAGCAGGGCTGTGCTGGGCAAGCGGAGGGGCCTCCCAGTTCCAGGACGCCCCTCAGGCCCAGGACAGCAGATTGTGGTAGGATAGTAATGAGGTGCCGGTCCTCACTGCCTCCCGCCTCCTCTGCAGCCTGGATCACTTGCCTGGCCTGCTTCCTGAGGACTCAGGCCCAACAAATTCTGTTCAACACCTGCAGGTGAGTGGGGCAGTCAAATGTATATGTCGGAGGGGGATGGCAGGCGGCTTGACAGCGCTGGGCCCACACGGCCGGCGGGCATGGTGCATCCTCATGACCCGTCATGATCCCTTCCGTGATACAGGAAGGGATGAGCCATCCCAAATGCGGCTTCTATCAGAGGCCCTTTCTCCGGAACCCACTGTTGCTCCCCACTGCTGTAGCACCTCAGACTGCAGCCCTGGAAGCCCGCCTCGCCCAGGCTCGTCCTACCTAACCACGTGTCTGCGTGTCCACCTGTTGTGACATGCACGCATTCCCTGCTTTCCAGATGCAAGCTGCTCTTCCAGAAGCTCATGGAAAAGACAGGCGTTCTGGTCCTCTGTGTCTTTGGTGCGTCCAGGACCTGCTCCGTGCTGGGTAGAGGTGTCCCTGACCTGTAGCCCATCCTGGGGAGGGAGGGTGAGGACTCGGGCATGAACTACATGACACTAGGCAAGACTCAACCCCTCGATGAGCCTTAGTTTCCCCACCTGGCTGATGGGTATGCTGCGAGCATTAAATGAAATGACCAAGAAAAAGTTTTGAAGGTGAAGGAAAATTCTGCAAATGTTAAAGCTCTCCCCAAACCATGTTATGGTAGTTATTGCTGGGTTTCTATGGTTTCCTCCTAGCCTCCTCCACCACCACCTCTCACACCACAGCTTGGTTTTCTCAAGCCAAGGAATGGCCTCCCTCCAGTCAAGTGTGCCAGACTGGGCCAGTCTGGGAGGGACAGAGAACCAGCCCCTCATCAGAAAGTGAGCAGTGAGTCCTAGGACACTTGCCCAACTAATAAGAGTTTTCAAAATAACAACTTTGTTGAAGTACAAGTCACACACATTAAGTTCACCCTTTTCAAAATGTGCAATTCGGTGCATCCATCACCACCATCAATTGCAGTATCTTCACTACCCCCTCAAACCTCCAGCCCCTGGTCACCACCCCTCTCTTCCCCCAGACCAATGCATGTTCTTTCTGTCTGGATTTGCCTGTTCTGGTCTTCATGGCTTCGTTTCTCTCAGCACACTGCTTTCAAAACTCATCCATCCTCTATCAGCACTTCGTTCCTATACACGACAAAGTAGTCCATTGTTGACTTACCACATTTTGTATAACCCGTCATCTGTTAACATAAGGTTGTTTCTGCCTTTGGCCATTATAAATAATTCTGCTTTGAGTGCACACATATGGATGTGTGTTTTCGATTCTTTTGGGTATACATCTAAAGAGTAGAATTGCTGATTCACATGATAACTTGCTGTCTAGTCTCTGAGGAGTTGTCAGGCTATTTTCCAGGTGACATTCCTGCCAGCGATGCATGAGGGTTTCAATTTCCCCACTGCTTCACAACACTTGTTATTTATTATCTGTCTTCATTTTTTTCTTCCTTAAGGATAGTTTTATTTTCACTTCCCTGGTGACTAATGATGTTGAATTTTGAATTTATTGGTCATTTCCATATCTTCTTTAGAAAAATCTATATTCAGAACTTTGCCCATTTTATATGAGTTATTTGTCTTTTAGCCATTGAGTTATTAGAGTTACTTATGTAATCTGGATGCAAATCTTTTATCAGATACAAGACTTGCAAATATTTTCTTCCATGCCGGTCATTGTCTTTCATTTTGTTGGCTGTGTTCTCTCAGCACATTATTTTTAAATTTTGATTTAATTCAGTTATCTTCTGCCCCTTGTGATTTTGCTGTCTTATCTAAGAAACCATTACCTAATCCAAGGTCATGAAGATTTACTCTAAGTTATCTAAGAGTTTAGTTCTTACATTTAAATCCATGATCCATTTTTTAGTTAACTTTTGCATGTGATGTGAGATAAGTGCCCCACTCTATCCTTTTGACAGAGAATGATAAATAACCTTAAACCTCTACTCTGTGCAAGGTACTGAATAAAAGGAGTATACAGTTTACAGCCTCAGAGATGGCGAAACTTTGTTTTATGTGCTAGAACTTAAATATATCATCTCACTTAATCATAACGTAGATATTATTATCCCCATTTTACTGAGGTGGAAACTGAGGTATATAAAATTTATAGACATGTGTTAATGTTGCACAATACTAATTAGTGGCAAAATAGGCTTGATGCCCTACCTGCAGACCTTAAGCTCTCAACCTTTCATCTGAAATGGTTCATTCTCATTCCCCTGACCCCACAGGATTCTGGGTGCTTTCTATCCACTTGCCATCCAAAATGGAAGTCTGGCAGGTGAGTATGCATGTTCTTGGACACCACAGCCAGCCAATGTCACTTCTGTATGCTTCCCTCACTCTCACCACGTCTAGAGCGTAATCAGTTCCTGACTCACCCCAACTCCTACTCTCTGCTTTTTCTTTGCCACACACTGGAGCCCATGTCTCCTGCTAAAATGAGTTTCAAAGACTAGATGCAACAGCCCCTCCCCAGGATGGATGCCTCTCCTGTCCATCACTCCCAGCAGGCACCTTCTCCTTTACCAAGGTCCTCTAATAAAGGATAATGAGGACAGGGAACACATTTCTCTCTCAAGGAAGTTTGTCCTCCTGGTTGAATGAAATTAAACCACCTGTGCTGTGGTTTCTGGGGAGGAAGGAGGAAGCAATCCATTGCCAGAGATCCCTAAGGACAACAAGAAGTCTCAGGAGGCCTGTGGAGAGAGGCATGCCTGACCCTATCTCTCCTCCCTTCATAAACTCCAAGATCCAACTAAAATATCACATCCTCCAAAAATGCTGTAGCTGAATGAGTAACATTCTCTTTTCTCTTTCTGCAATTTTCTGTATTGTGACTACTGTACTGGCAACACTTGAAGGCAGCTATGTCTGGTTTACTCCAGCAATTACTACCTAAAGTTCAGGCACAGAGTTGCTGCTATTAATTTTGGATGTGTGGGTGATTGAATGAAGTGTGAATGGAAGGAGAATGGGTGAGAAGCAAGGTGGACAAGTGAAAGGGAGAGTGATGGCCTAGAGAATAGGGAGACAGGAGGCAGATGGGGTGGGTGGCTGGAAGATGGATGGATGGATGCATGGATGGATGGATGGATGGATGGATGCATGGATGGATGGATGGATGGATGGATGGATGGGAGTGTGGAAGGATAAGGGCCTAAATGGATGAAGGAGTTTGTCTAAATGGAAGGGTAGATGGAGAGGTATATGGGTGGATGGGTAGGAAGAGTGCCTGGCTGGGAGTACAGATAGATGGATGTCAAGTAGGGTAAACATGATAAATGGTAAGTTGGAGGATTACTGGAAGAGTCAATAAGAAGGTTGGGGAATGGACGGATTTGTACTGTGGGAGAAGCGGGGGGGCTCTTTTCAACCCAGATTAGGCCATTAAAGGAGATTCCTTGCTTTCCCAACACCCCACCAGGATGACAGCATAAACAGTCCACTGCAAAGCTTGCGGTAAGGAGAATATGCTCAATGGTCCATTGTCATGTAAAAGCTGGAGATACAGCCAGGATCTGGGGTGTGCTAAGAAAGTGTGCTCTGTAGTCAGGCCCAGCTGGGTTTAAATCTCAACTCCCACCCTTCTTTCCTGGATAGCCTTTTGCAAGTCGCTTCATCTCTCTGCTTTTTAATTCGTTGTTTATGAAATGAGGTGTAACATTCATCTTTTTCTGGGTGATTATGGGTTTTAAAAGCAGCATAGTTTTCAGTAGCCCATAGCCCATGCTCAAACAACCATAGCTGAGAAGACATTTTAGCCAACAAGATGCCTGGGGGCAACGTCCTTAATTGCAGTCAAAATAATTTGGAAGAAATGGGCTGGATTTAAGGATATTTCAGCAAGAGGCAAGTGCAGGTGTGGGCACAAGACAGAGAAATGTGAAACTAGTTCTGTATGGGCTGGCTGGCAAAGGGAGAAGCCGGTTGGCGGCGGTGGCTTCCCAGGTGGGTCAGCCCCTGTCTCCCCCACAAGGCTGTACCAGGAGAAGGTGCGACATCACACTGGGGAGATCCAGGACCTTCGGGGCAACATGAACCAGCTCATTGTCAAGCTCCAGATGATGGAAGCCATGTCAGATGAGGTTAGACGCTGGCCATCATGCCCCAGACACCAACTCCTCTTTCTTTGATGGCCTGCTTCCTCTCACCCCATTTTAGTGGGGCCCATCCACCAATATGGAACAGCAGGAAGTGAAACAAGTAGATACATACGAATTTAGAACGTGCAGGTTTGAAAACATCTTTATTCTCCCTGTGCACCTGATGAAGAATTAGTTTGGGTACAGAATTCTAGATGTGAAATCGCTTCCCCAAGCATTTTGAAGGAATCCTCCGCTGTGTTCTAGGTTAGACTGCCGCTGTTGAGGATTCCGGTGGGCTCGTATCACTGGGCCTTCGAGAGTGGTTTTCTTTTCCTCCTAGGAGCTTGTTGAATATTCTTTTAGTCCCTAATGGTCTATATTTATCTGCCTGTGGGTTTGTTGAGCTTATTAAATCAATAGTTTGATGTGTTTCAATAATTTTGGAAAATTATAATCTCTCAAAATATTGCTTCTTCCCCATTATCTAATCTCCCCAGACATCAGCTATAGTTGTGCTAAAGCTTTGGAGTGCGTTCCTAAAGGTTGATTCCTAAAAGAATTTTTATCTTTTTGCTCTATTTAAATTTTGTTCATTTTTTTTCTCTATTTAGGTTTTAAATTTCCCACCCCCAGTTCTTCAGGCTCACTAGTAGTCCTACACTCTCTTCTGCCCATCTATTGTCAAATCTTTCCCTTACGTTCTTAAATGCACATATGAAAAATGTAACCCCCCCAATTAAAATAAAATCATTTTCAAGTTCTGACTTGCATATTACATTATTTAGTTCTAGAATATATACTTATTTTCCAAAGATTTTAATTCCATGGTGAAATTTCCAGTATTTAATCTATGTTATCCATCTTTTCTTTTGTGTTACTTAATGTTAGTCATAATTATTTTTAAATCTTTGCTAATTCTCCATCTATTGTCTATTTTTTCTTTGGAATAGTAATGATATGGTTCCATATGCTTCTTTGGGTCTAGCATTCTCTGGACATTGTATAAAAAAGAACTGTAGATGTTCCAGGTAGTCATCATTTCTTCCAGAAAAAGCTGCTGCCTTTTTTTCCTGAGGAAAATGATCACTTGTATATAAACATGCAGTGAGCTATTTCAGACCTGGATTGTCATTTTTACAAAATTCAGTCGGAGGTCTTTCACTCACCCCTTTAGTCTGCCCATGTAGCTTCAAAACTCCTGTCCATGTCCTGACAGCAAAGGCTGACGATGTGCTTGAGGCCTCTCAAGTCACCAGTTTTGTCTCCCAATCCTGCTTTTACGCAAAATCTCTGACCCCCAGGCAGCCTTTTCTGCCAAAAGCAAATGTGGATTCTCAGCCTCTAGTCCCACCTGTCTTGACTTAATGTGCCCAGATGACAGGTGTTCACAGCTCACAGCTGTAAGCGGAGGACACGACTGCGCCCCCACGGACAGACCAGCCTCAAAGGGGCAGTAGCTGGCCCAGCCCCCAGAGCAGATGCACAGCCCCATGTGTCACCCCCTGCACGGTGGCTGTGAGGGTGGAGTAGCCCCAGCGGATGAGGCAGGGGTGCTGCCTGCTGCTGGGGCACCCCGCAGAACACGGGGTGAAAGGGGTCTAGGTAGCCCCGAGCAAGGCCAGTCACGGCTTCTGCAGGCTGTCCTGCAGCCACATGTCACCTGGTGGTACACACACGGGGGGGAAGAGGGGGTGATCGTGATCTGCAAAAGATGCCAGGGCAAAGCTGTGTTTTCTGCCTTCTCAGCAAAAAATGGCCCAGAAAATAATGAAGATGATACAAGGAGATTACATTGAAAAGCCGGACTTCGCCTTGAAGTCTATAGGTGAGTGGCTGGCCCATGTCGGGTTTGCTGGGAAACTCTTGAGAAGGCAGAGTCAGTTTTTGGTGTGGAGCTTTGTTCTCCAGACATCGGAGTCACAGCCAGGTGGAGGAGACAAACCACACTGGCCCAGGTGCTGTTGGGAATAGTGTTCTAGAAAGATAAAGAGGTAGCTGGACTAGAGGGAAGCTGGGCAGAGGTGTGGGAAGAGAACATGTGGTTGTAACTTGGTGAGGCGAGAAAGGCTTTGCAGATGGAGGGGCCCTTTGGCAACCCAGAGAAAATGCCGCCGGAGTGGGGAGCTGCATTGGAGGAAGGAGGACGGGCTGTGGGCTGTGAGGCAGACTAGCCCTTATGAAGGGGACCCCGGGCCAGCGGACCCAGTCCCAAGCCCATGAGACACAGGTCAGAGGATGTAACTTAACCTTTCAGAACCTTGCTTGACCTCTCGGGGCCTGGGTTTCCTCCTCTGGGAAATGGAAGTAACAGAAGCCGTGGTGATAACAACCAGCTTGACCTGAGTGAGCACTTTGACTAGGCCAAACACTGCTGAAAACATATCCATGTATTCACTCATTTCAACCTCAGAGCAGCCTACGGAGCAGACTCTGCCACTACCGCTATTACTGCCATTGCCCAGAAGGGAACGCGGAGGTCCAGAGAGGACCAGCGACTCATGCGGAGTGCCCACCTGGCACGCAGTGGGTGCCACTCGGTGAGGCCCCCTCCCCCGGGCGGGGACGAGCCTGCTGCATGGTACCCTCCACCTCCCATACAGGTGCCACCATCGACTTTGAGCAAACGTCCGCCACCTACAACCACGACAAGGCTCGCTCCTACTGGAACTGGATCCGGCTGTGGAACTATGCGCAGCCTCCGGACGTGATCCTGGAGGCAGGGAATGGCGGGACGATGAGGGGTAGCAAGGGTGGCCAGGGCCTGGGGCAGGGGCTGGTGTGAGGGCTGAGAAAGAAGAGCGTGAAAGCCTGGGTGGGTTAGGAGCCCCAGCGGATTAGGGGGTGCTGGAGAAGAGTCAGGTGCAATGTAGAAGGTTAGAGCACCGGGGGCGGGGGGCTGGGGCAGATGCACTGGAGGGGTCCCTCAACCAGCCCTCAAGACTGGAGGATCAGGGAACCGTCACTGGCCCACTCAGACCTCAGCTTCACGGTGCTGCACTGAGGAGCTGTGGGGAAGGTTCATCCTTAACTGGGGGGGGGGGCAGGGGGCATCTGGAGTTGGTGGTGCTAGGGGCCAAGCTTGGCAGATAGCTGGTAAGGACGTGGATCATCCAGGAGCACTGCGGTGGTCTCGGGGTGCAGGGGGGATGAGGACTTGCCCTCACCACCCCCATCCAGCACAGCTCCCCTTGTATCCTCCTTCCAGCCCAACATGACGCCAGGCAACTGCTGGGCCTTCTCAGGTGACCGCGGCCAGGTGACCATCCGGCTCGCCCAGAAGGTCTTCCTGTCCAACCTGACCCTGCAGCACATCCCCAAGACCATCTCGCTGTCGGGCAGCCTGGACACCGCCCCCAAGGACTTCGTCATCTACGTTAGCACGCCCCGGCAGGGGCCACTCTTAACTAGGGGAACAGCCTCGCGGTGGGGGTCCTGCAGGCACTGACGATTCTGTCTGCATGGTCCAGGCAGCTAGAGGGGCCGGGCGAGGCTTTGGAAGGCCCGGGAATGCCAGGGTCGGCTCCCAGCCTTCAAGGGTAGGGGGTGAACAGCCCCCTATTTCAATCCCAGATTCACAGGGCCCATTTAGTCTTTAGTGACCACTGAATCCCCTTTACTGACACAGAAACCGAGGCCCAGAGTAGGATCCAAGATACCCAGCTCTTACAGCTCTTACAAGTCAGTGGCAACGTTGGCGTGGGCCTCAGCCTGCTGACTCTCAGTTGGGTGCTGCCGAAGGCTGGGAGCGCCCCATCCTGGGAGGTGGCAATTGTCCCTGCCCATACCTGACGCTTTCTCCTGTGTTCTGATTCCAAAGGGCATGGAAGGCCCCCCCAAAGAAGAGGTGTTCCTAGGGGCATTCCAGTTTCAGCCAGAAAACATCATTCAGACGTTCCAGCTGCAGGTACCTGAGACAGCGGCCTGTGTCGAGCACCTACTGAATGCTCAGTGTGTGCATGGGACCCACCACTACAGCCCAAGGTCACGGTTGTGACTAGCCCACTTATCAGACAAGGAAACTGACATTCAGAGGGGCGGGGCTGCTGCCTGTGGCCACGAGCAGCCCGAGGAGGTCCGTGCGTCCTCCGACCTGCCCTCGCAGGGACAGAGGTGTGGAGCCAGAGGGTCCTCCACACTAGAGCTGCTGTCTGCAAACTTAGAGTCTCCACACTGGGAGGCCCACAGAGAGCCCCCAGGCCAAGCTCCGGTGGGTAAACTGAGGCTCAGAGGAACAGAAGTCAGGAACAGAAGCAAGACAGGCAGGGTTGCCTCTGGACTAGCCCTGAGACACCACGAAGTCTAGGCTTGCAAATCAGGCTGGGTCCAGTTCCTGACCCCCAACAGTTTCTGCATGATCTTGGGCCAATCCCGGCCTCTCCTGGCCTCAGTTTCCCCTTCTGTTAATACCTGGGAATTGAAGCTGAGGCCATCTAGTGAGGTCTCCCAGATCAAAGTCCCCTTTTCGCAGTGGGCAAGGATCCTAAAAACAAGGATCCTAGCCCCATCCCCTCTCCAGGGACCCAAAGGGGAAGGACTACACCTTCCAGAGCCCTTGTAGTGCCAGGTGTGGCTAAGCCACGCAACCCCTGGGCTGGTTTCATGCTCCCGGCAGCCCAGAGAACCATATCTCTGCTCTCATCTGACAGAGGGAGAAACTGTGGCCCAGAGAGATACAGCAGTGTGCTTGGGGTCCCACAGCACCGAGGAAGAAACTCCCGGAGGGAGACACTCGGGGTCCACGCCAGGGCCCAGCACTCCCTGTCTAGCACTTCCTGTCTAGCCTCAGGGCAGGCCTTTCCCTCTTCGAACTTCAGTTTCTCCACCTGCGAAAGGAGAAAGTTCCTTCCACCCCCTAATGCCCCTCTGAACAGGTGTGGGGTCTCTGGGTGAGCTGCCCCAGGTCTGTGCTCTTTCAGAACCAGCCCCTCCGGAGTTTTGGCGCAGTCAAGGTGAAGATATCCAGCAACTGGGGGAACCCACGCTTCACCTGCCTATACCGTGTCCGCGTGCATGGCTCCGTGACCCCGCCCAGGGAGCAGCCCAACTAGGCCAGACGCTGAGAGATTAAAGTTTATTCTTCACACTCCAGCGCCAGTCTGTGTGTCTGGGTCCTGAAGACTGGGGGTGGGAGCACTGACCCTCTGGTCATGATCGGCGACCTCGGTCGTGTGCTGGGTGCCTCGTGACAGCCCCAAGACCCCCGTTGCACTGACAGAGACGGTGCAGCCCAGGCCACCAAGTAACACCCACGGGGCACGGCAACCTGTGGCCCCACCAGAACCCGGCGCCGGCCCCTTACTGAGCCATCTTGCTGGCCAAGTCCTGCCCCAACCTATGTGTGACCTTGGGCCAGTCTCCCCATTGGTATATTAGGGACAGGATGACCACTATTGTATCAGATGAGGTGGGAGAGAGAAGTCCTTCCCCTGCCCACCTCATAGTATTTCACTGTCACACAGAAGATTTACTGTGTGGCATCGGGCAAAACACACACCCTCTCTGGATCTCAGTTTTTCCAGGTAGAAACATTTCTGTTCCCTTGTGTGCATCAAAGGGCAATATTGACAGCGTAAAAAGCGAAGAACCAAAATGGGGGAAAATATTTGTAAATCACATCTGTGATGAGGGATTAAGATCCAGACTACCCAGAGAACTCCTGAAACGCAACAGCCAAAGAACAAACAGCGCTGACTTGAATGGACATTTCTCCAAAGAATGGCGGGGACGCATATGAAAAGTCACTCAGCCTCACCGACCAATGAGAAAGGCAAGTCTGGCCCACGGTGAGACACCACCCTGAACCATTAACACAGCTCTCCAGAACCATTAACACAGCTCTCCAGAACCAAGACAAAATATTGATGCAGATGTGGAGAGCACATCTGTGTGTAGCTGGTGAGAATGTGCGTGGTGAGGCCACAGCGGACAGTGGGGCAGTTCATCAGCACACGTGAAATAGCACTACCAGATGGCCTAGGGCCCCACCCTGGGGTCTAGACATAAAGAACCTAAAGAGGAAGATGTTTTTGCTCTATTACAATTGCTATTTATTTTTCCCTCTGGTTCTTTATGTTCCTGCTATGAGTGAAACTATCTGGTATTTTTCCTTTTCTTTCTGGCTTCTTTCACTAAGCATGATCCCTTCCAGCTCCATCCATGTTGCTGCAAAAGGCATGAGTTTATCTATTTTGGTTGCTGAGTAATATTCTACTGTGTATATGTACCACATCTTTTTAATCCCGTCATCTACTTTTGGGCATTTGGGTTGATTCCTTGTCTTTCCTACTGTAAATATAGCGGCAGTAAACATGGGCATGCAGGTGTCTTTCTGAATCATTGTTCTTGTGTCTTTTGGGTAGATACCTAGGAGTGGGACTGCTGGGTCATATGGAAGCTCCATTTTTAACAGTTTTAGCTTTCCAAAAACCAACAAACAACTTTATACAAGAGACATTTTACGGGGGTGGGGTGGGGAATGGGATAAAAAAATAGGGCGAGGGGTGGGGAGAGTGCACGGGACTATGGTGATGGCACACGGGTGATTTGGTGGTGGGAAGCCCTCGATTACAACCGAGGTGGGAAAAGGCACAACATGATGTAAAAATAAAAATATAAAATAAATAAAAAGAGGAAGATGTGTGCTCTTGCTCAACACGGCAACATTTATGAATGTGGAAGCAACCCAGGTGCCCACTGATGGAGAAACAAAGTGTGCTTTAGGCCAGCGAAGGGTGATTGAGCCTCCGAGTCAGGAAGGAAATTCAGACACATTACGGGTGGCCCTTGAGGACATGTGAAGTAAGGTGGCCCCTGAGGTGCTGAGTGAAGCAAGCCGGTGGCCAAGACAAAGGCCCACCCACGTGAGCGTGTGGGTGTCCAGACTCCCAGAGAGGCAAGGGGGGTGGCTGCCAGCAGCGGGGGGCGGGGGGGGCTGTGGTTTAGGGTCTGAGTTTCACAGGGTGAAGAGCCTTGTGCAGCTGGACGATGGAGGGTTTGCAAAGCAACACAAAGATGCACACACTTTGGTAAGACGGTAAATTTGATGTTATAAAAAAAAAAAACCAGGAAATGTTTTTAAATTATTTAAACCCTGGGAAGGAGAAATCCTAGGACTCTTAAAACATTTTAAGAAAATCATTTCATTCAGATAGCACATAGTACGTTACTATGTGCGAATACAAATGCAAATTTTTTTAAGTTTCTCATATTTCGCCTCCATAATTTCCACCATAGCTGAGTTCCCACCTGTTCTAGCATTTGCTTGCGAGCTTACAGTATGCTGAAAACGGTATCCATTGTATGATACCTCTGCCCATGGAGCTCGGCACAGAACAAGGTACACAGTGGGTGCTGGGTAAGTGGTCGTCAGGGTACTGTCCCTCCAGGCAAGGTGGCAGGGGGTGGTGATGCCTCCCCGCAGGGCCCCAAGGGCGGGAGGGGCTGGCCTACAGGAAAAGGGCTCCAGACTGGAGGCTGGCACAGCAGGTGCGGAGGCTGGCAGGGGTCCAGCTGGGCCTTAGAAGGGCAGCTAAGTCAGGAACACTGGCCCCTTGGGAGGTCACTGTGGACAGGCCCCTGTCCTGGTGTAGAACCTGCCTCTCTGGCTCTCTGCCAGGCCTCATCAGCCCCGGGGACCCATATCAGGTCTGGCATGATTTCTACCATTTTTATATAAACCATTCTTGTTATTAAAAAGTCAAAGCACACAGAGGTTTAATGAACAGCCAGCCCATAGGGACACCCTTCCTCCCCCAAATGCCCCCAAACCTCTCCCTCCAGTTGTTCTGCATGTTTTCTTAGAAGGCATTACCTTTTAATTTTGTTTAATGTTTTTCATCCAATAGATGTTTTTGAGAAAAAAAAATTTGGCCCTCCCTGGCGGCGCAACTGGTTAAAGCGCAGCACTACGAAGTTCTCTGTAGCCACTGCAGCACGACTTCCATCCCAGCCCCGGAGGTGACCACATGGCGCGGCAGTCCTCTCCTGACCCACCGCTGCTCCCCTCAGCAGTGTGTTTCAGTTAATCTGCCTGTTCTGCTCCCCACTCTGTCTCTGGTCTCACCCCCTGCACCTCTGGCCCCGGTTCCTGTGTGCATAAATAAGTAAATCGGTCTTTTCCTTCAGCACTTCTAGCTTGTGTGCATTGTCAGGAAGGACCCACCCAGTTTCAAGAAGATAGAAATGTACCCCTGAAGCGTCTGCTCCTAATATTACACAGAATCTAGAAATAGATCTATATATGCACACATGCTCCCACGGGCACGCACTAACTTCAGGTGTCGCAAAGCACGTGAAGGCATCTGGAGGTGGCTCCTGCCCCAGGTGTGAGCCCGGGCTCTGGTGTCATTTTTGCTAACATACTGCCTGGGGCCAATGCATTTCAGTGACAGGAGAGAACACTCCCTTGCTCAGAGACACGTCCACGCACAGCCTCTGGCCCTTCCTTCCACTGTCATCAAGTCTCCTCTGTCGCCAGACTCCAAACCGATTCTCTTCAAGTTACTGGTCTTGCACTATATGTTGGGGGGGCTGTCGCAGCACCCCTCCTTTATTTCTCTGTTTCAGAATAATCTTGGCTGGCCTCAGGCGCTTTCTTTTCCAAGCAAACTTTGCAACCAGTTTGTCAAGCTGCATTTTTGGAAAGCTGTATCTGCACAGCCTCTGGGCATGGGGAGGGTGCGTCCCTCAGCCCCGCCAGAGCATGGAATCCTCTCTGCAGGTTTCCGAGGTCTCTTTCCTTCAGCATCTTTAGTGAACAGTCATTGTTTTCTTCATGTGAATTCTGCCCGTTTCTTGCCAGATTTGACCCTGGAGAGCTTGCCAGCCCTAGGACAGCTGTCAAAGGGATCTCTCCTCTTGTGGTGTATTTACGGTTAGGGCTGCTGGGGAGGAAACTCCCGCTATTGGACATTGGTGACACTGGCCCTCCATGTCCCCACCTGCGCAGGGCTCAAGTAATCCTCCCCGGTGTCCCATGGACACTCATCATCCACCAGCATCCCATGATGCATGATGTGCTCACACCCCTCACCCCATGTCCTCTCTGCGGGGACAGAACAATCCCACAGATAGAGGAAACTGAGGCACGGATATGGGGAGCAGTTTCCCAAGGTCAAGGTGAGGCTGTGCCCCCGACCCAGACCCGCCAGACCCCACAGTGCTTGCCCTCCCCTCCGACCCTTCCCAGTTATTTCAGATTCCAGAAATCTATTTCAGCACAGATCATGGGGCCCCTGGGTTCCATCCCAGCTGCCCCCAAGAGCAGCCCGATGGCCCACCCTACCCCAGGGCCACCCAGAAGTCACAAAGACAGCATCACGCAGCGTGGCGCTAAATCCAGGGGGAGCCTCCCTCAGCCTCCTGCCCGGATTATCAGACTCCCCTTTTTCACCAGGAGTCCTCCCCACCCTTCCATGCCTTGTCCTCCAAGGCCAATGCCCTGGGCTGGCATCAGAGTTCACCTTGCCCTTCACCTGTGCCCCTGCACAGACAGGGAGGCAGCCCCGAGGGTGCCCTGTCTCCCAAAGCCCACACAGAAGCCTACGCAGCCCACAGGGCCGGGGTCTGCTCCTGCCCGGGAGGGGTTCACAGGGGCAGCTCCCTGCAGGCAAACAAAGGTGTGCTAGGGCTCGCTCCCCACCCCCATCGGGTCCACAATGGACAAGACTGGCCACCTGCCCGCCATTCAGCCCACCCGCAGACTTGAGCAGAGGCGTGGGCAGGTGGCCAGGGAGGCGTCAGCTCTCCGCGGTGACCGAGACAGAACCGGAGACACAGAGCGCCAAGCCACTGCCACTCCGGCCCAGGCCCCCAGAGTGGCGCCTGTGATAAACCCAGCTCAAGCCCAGGATTTGAGCTAATCCTGTTAATCCCAGGACATGAGGCCAGATAGGGCTGGGGTGGACGGGCAGGGCCTGGTTTCTCTGGGTCTCAGAGACCCCTGGGTCCATGAGGGACGGAGTCCTAAACTCACCCCTGCCCCGTGCTCCCTCACTGTGTGACCCGGTGACTGTGTGGCTCTTCGCCTCCATTCTCCCCCGAGAATGCC